GGGTGAGGTGGGGGCCGCGGTGGGCGCGGCGAGCCCGCGGCCGCTCCGTGGGCTTTTCGCGCCTTCGACACCAGCCTCGAGCGCCCGAGGCGGACTGTGGGCCGCGCCTCCCACGGGCAGGCCCGGCCCCGCGAAGTGGGCGCGGACCCCCGGGCAGGGACGGCGTTGGAACACGGGACCCCGGGCCCCGGGTGGGTCTCGGGTAGGGAGGTGCGAGACCGCCCCGGGAGCTCCGGGAGCCTACGGGGCACCCCCTCGGCGAGTGTCCGTCATTCAACAGGTGTTTCGTGGGGGTGCCCACTGCATGCCCGACGCCGCCCGGGGCTTCCCCCGCCTGTCTCCGCCCAGCGGTCACTCCGCGTCGTGGACGCTGCCCCGAGAGCCCCTCCTTTAATCGAGCCTCTTTCCTTTTCTTTAAGAGTTTGTAGAGAAGCCTTTGAAGCTGGTCCTCAAAGTGGGAGGGAACGAAGTCACCGAGCTCTCCACCGGCAGCTCGGGGCACGACTCCAGCCTCTTCGACGACAAAAACGATCATGACAAACACAAGGACAGAAAGCGGAAAAAGAGAAAGAAAGGCGAGAAGCAGGTTCCAGGGGAAGAAAAGGGGAGAAAACGGAGACGAGTCAAGGTAAAGGTAGTTGCAGTTGCTTCGGCCGTGCGGGTGGCACCGCTTCCCACGTGCCGGCCGGCAAAATCTGACCTGTTTTGAGGAGGGAGAGCGGGGCCGAATAGAAACAGGAACCACCTGTGAGTGTCAGCAGCTCTGTTCTGTTATCCTCGCAGCCGTACTCAACGCACCAGGCAAGGGAGTAGCTAGCTGGTCCCCACTGTCAGGAGCTGCTTCAGAGAGAGCTTTTCCATCTCGGAAAGGCGAGAGCCGCGTTCAGAAAAGCCTCCGTGTTGGAGGTTTGTCAGAAATACGAATTTCAAGAGCAAATGGGGTCTCTTCAGTTCAGTTTTTGTTCCGAAATAATTACTATAACGAGCAACTTCCATCCTTTAAAACAAAGTTTGAGTCTGTGGAACAGAAGATTCTACCAGAGACTTTTAAGAGAGGTGACATCAGTAATAGAAATAAGCATTTTCTTAACCACTGGCAGTTAATAGAGGAAAATTAAGTAGCTGCCATCTCAGTTTGCAAGCTGGGCAAAATAGTAACAATTAGCTGTACTCCCAGGGGTGATGACATGCATACCTGGAATTATCCTAGACTCCTTCGCGCTTCCCAATTTGAACCCGTCGCCAGTGACTTATTAAAGGAATTACTGTATCTTAAAAGTAGATTTCCATAGCTTGGTTTTATAATTTTTCTTAACGTTTATATACATAACAGAAGTGTTCTCTTCCATGTGATTAAACACATAGATAAGTCATTAAATCTTAGAGATTTTGGAATTTCTTAAATCGATTCCTCTCTGCATCAGTTTTTATCGCTAGAATGGGGCAACACATAGAACTATCTAATGTTTCCCTTTCTCAAATTATAAAAACTGTATATACATATGATATTTTAAAAGAAATTCTAGTGGTACAGAAAGGAACCAGATGGAGAGAAAAAAGTTTTCCTTACCCCAGACCCTCTTGCAGTCTCTTTCTCCAGAAGTAACCAGTTGGTTTTTTTAAATAACTTTTTATTAGTAGTAATTAGTGAACATAGTTTTAAAAAGTCAAGAGTACTACAAAGCTTTTAACACAAATTACTTCCCAAACATTTTAGTTTTCTCTTGTGATAGTTATCTCCATTTCTAAATGTAGGTTTATAGTGCCGTTTACTGATTTGTCAGTTTCCATCTTTTACTGGCATCGTGTTAGAGAAGATGAGAATTTAAGTTAGCATCCCTTCCTCCATGCCCCCAGTATAGGTCCATCACAATTGTCAGATAAATCAATATTTGGTGTCACTGAAGACAAATACAGTATACAAATAGAGATCTAGTCTTGATTCATTGTTTTCATTTGTTTGGTTATTGTGTACTAATTTTTTCTAAACTAACACATTTGTAAAACCCGTCCGATTCCAGTTTTTCTCATGGGCAGACGCTTGCCTGTGTTCTGAGACACCATGCTCGTAGCTCTCTTTCCTCTCACAGTCTCGATTAATTGTCCAGGCCTTTGGGGACTCTCCTTTGCCTGCTTTCTAGAACTCATGTCTTCCTCTTGATTTACTTCCTTGTTTTGGTGGAATCTTAACTCTAAGAACTACCTAAGAAAGCATTCATAGAAGATAGATTTTTTTAAGTTCTTATGTTTTGGAAATCATGCTACCTCAGTATAGTTCTCACATAGATCGATGGTTTGGCTCGGTACGGAATTCCAGATTGAAAACTGTTTTCTACCACAGTCTTGAAAATATTGTTCAGTTGTCTTCTGTGTTCCAGATTTACTGTTGAGAAATCTGTTGCCATTCTGATTCTTAGTCCTTTGTATATGACCAGCATTTGCTCTCTCGAAATTTTTAGTATCTTCCCCTTTGTCTTTGGTGCTTTGTTTTGCAACGAATAATCTTGCTTTCAGTTCTGGGATGTTTGCCTGAAGTATTTCTGTGATAATATTTGAATTTTATTTCAGATTTTGTATTTTGAATGTCTGAGAATCCTTTCTTGTTCTCTAATTGTCCTTGTTTTAATAGCACCTTGTTCTTGTTTTTACATGCATTACCTTTGATTTCTCTGAAGATATTAATCAATGGGTTTTGGTTTTGTTTTGTTTAACTTTTGTTCCCTGTATTGTCTGTATTTCACTTCAAGTTCTTCAATTTATTTATTTGGTCTCCTCTTACGTTAAAAGCATCCTTTAGTTATCTTTAAATAAAAATAGTTTATTTATATTTAAACGTGCAGCACAAAAAGACTGATTAAATGCTTTGTGCCTAGAGAAAGTTTGTCAGCTGATGGACTTCACTGTACAGTCACTAAACAGAGACCTGATCATATGGGTGGGGATCCCCCAAGTGGCCATACCCTCCAGGATCCTTGCTCTGAACTCTTCAGTTTCTCCAGAGGAAAACCCCTGCTGGGAGGGAGAAGTCTACTCTGCCGGTGTTTCGGGAGCCATCCACAGGAGGAGGCTGGAGGTCTTGTCTTATCACCCCGTGCTCTGTTTTCAGTCCAGCGCGGCTCCCCACTTGTGCCTGGGTCCAGGTCTGGAAACTCGTTCCTTATGTCTCCAAGTTCTGAGCTTCAGGGTTCTGGGGTTTGAACTTTTCTCATAGGCGTCTGCCTTTGCACGCAGGCGGCAGCTTGCTTTCTCTGGTCTACAGACTCCTTTACTTGCCTTTCATCTCCCAAGTGTGTTGGCATATTTCATCCACTGTCGTCTTTTCTGTACCCTTTGTCCCTGCCACCATGTCGTTTAACTGGAGGTCGAGATAACCCCTTTTAACCACTTCTGGTTTTAGTTCTGGCAGTTATACCGTAATACCAGACGATATATTCATTTCTTATTTTCTCAGTTATGTTATTTTTCTTAACTACCTCGTATTCAGTTATATTGATATACCATGTTTTATGTAATAATTTTTTTAAATGTTACAGATAATGATGCACTGAGCCTCATTGTACACGTCTTTTATACTTTTATGAGGATATCTTCAGGATAGGTTCTTAGAAGTCTCCCCTTCGGTTCCAGCCACTCTGCCCTTTCTTGACTGTGGCTCTAAATAGCATTAGCCCCCGTTATGGTTTGATTCCATTGCCAATAAAGATGCTTTTGCATCCACAGTCTCATTTGGACATAATCCTCTGCATGGTAGGACAGTTAGGTAGGTGGTTTCTATTTTATAGAAGGTAAAGTGGAAATTCAAGAGGATTAAAGTGAATTTGCTAAGGGTCCCACTTCCTGGGGACTTGGAGTGAGGGATCATGGGACATCCTCAGAATCTCTGTAGAGACTGTTTGGGTCATTCTTTTTTTTTAGACCAGAATAATGAGAAGGTAAACCCTTTAATTTTTCAAAGGTGTCTTAATTAAGTGCTTTTTTCCTTTTGAGTAGGCAATCCCTGATAATATCAATTGAGAATGCCCCAGCAGACGGGATCAATAGTATTTCTCTCCTTAGAGCAGTGCTATTTAATAGCCAGGGCACTGAGAGTACAACAGGCCGTAGTTTTGATGAGACAGACCGCAGGCCACGCACCACCCCTGTGAAGTGTGTCGGCTCTTTTATTCTTAAACATTTGATTGCTGAGCATATGGCAAAGAGTTTGTGTGCTTATTACGTAACATTACCCTTTCTCGAAGATTCAGCCTCAAATGTTTTCAAGTCATTTGTTCCCACATTATTCAAAAGAAATAAAATAACTGCTCATGAAAAACATGCTCATACCACTTGATGTAGTAGTATAGGCACAAGAGGACAATTAAGTAAAACTAAGGTGCAAGAGGTACAGTTCTGTGGGCCATTACATTGACAGCGTGGCGATTTATAAAAATTACAGAAATGTTTATAAAGTCATTTGAAGCAAAATAACATAATCATGTCTATATACACCCCCATTATGATTACTGAAAAACTCCATATCCACCTTACAGATGAGTGGTACTAAGCATATGTTACATGCTGGGTTCTGTGCCTAGTGCTTTGTGTATGTTATGTGTTGTATTTTACCACAATTTGTGTATGCTACCTCACAAATTTGTGTATGTGAGGTAACATGCAAATTGTGGTAAAATATACATAGCATAAAATTTACTATCTTCACCATTTTTAAGTGTCCACATTGTTGTACAGCCAATTTCCAGAACTTCATATGCATTAAGCAACTCCCCATTTCCCCCTCCCCACAGCTCCTAGTAACTACCTTTCTATTTCTACCTTTATGAGTGACTGCTGTAGATATATAGGTGGAAACATACAGGATTCGCCTTTTTGTGACTGGCTTGTTTCACTTAGCATAATGTCCTCAAGGTTCACCCATGTTGTGGCATGTGTTAGAATTATATTGCGTTGTATACATGTACCATATTTCGTTTATTCATTCATCCATCGATGGATATTTGGTTTGCTTCTACCTTTTAGCTGTTATAAATAATGCTGCTATGAACGTGGGTGTACAGTATCTCTTAAAAGACTCTGCTTTCAATTCTTTTGGACGTATATCCAGAAGTAGAATTGCCGTATCATATTATCTTCTCTTTTGTAAATGAGAAAACTAAGGCTCAGGGATGTTAAGTTAACTTGGTTAAGGTCACACAGTAAGTGCCAGAACAAGAACTCAAATCCTGCCCTTGAGAGGTCTTTAGTCAAAAGAGTTTTTAAAATGGACAGCAGCCCCCATCCCCTTCACAGTACATGTCAGTGCCCTAACAAGGCAGAATTCTAGTTCTGATGCTCCTGAGATTCCTTGGAGCTGGGAGAATCGCAGAAGACTTTGCTCGGGAAGTAGCATTCGAGCTGGTCTCTAGAAATCAATATAATGATGTCATACTACAGGTTCAGTCAACGTGGAGTCAGCTGTATACTCTGACCTATTGTATTTTCATATTATATAATTAAATGTAAAGGGTAATATATATAAAGCCATGAGCAAAGTAGCTACCTGGGCTACTGCAGGTATTTCAAAGGTAATCAGACAACCCCATTTGCATTTGTATGCTGACTTGAGAAGCTGATCCCTGAATAGAAAGCTAC